GGATTCTGCATTACTGGTTTTCATTTGTCCAATCCAGTCTCTTAACAATTTCATAGTTTTCTTTCACTTCAGTTAGGCAGCTCCTTACTGTGTGACCTTGTGCAAGTTACTTAATCCCTGAGCCTGTTTCATCATCTATAAAGTAAGAATCATACTAATACAGAGTTTTAATGAGAATTAAGTGAGATATCTTTTTTTTTTTCCCTTTTTGTCTTTTTTCATGACCNGTGTGTGTGTGTGTACAGACTTGAATACTGGGGCAGTAACTTGGAAGGGTGTGTGTGTGTGTGTGTGTGTGTGTGTGTGTGTGTGTGTACAGACTTGAATACTGGGGCAGTAACTTGGAAGGGCCAAGACAAATTTCCCAGGTCATTGAATATTTTCCATGACAAAGGAGGGGCCATGATTTGGAAATGAGGTTGTAATAATGGTACCTGTGATGGATGCATTGCCCTGAAGAAGAACATTTGTATTTTTTCCTCAGTCAGCTGTTGCAGGAAGGAGTGTCTTAGCGTGTGTATTTTAGACAGCACAGGGAGTCATAATTAAATTTCAAGCAAAGATAGAAGGAAGCCTTGTGGGCTGACTTCCTGATTAAGTAGGCAAAGAGGACATGTGGTTTGATTTGACATTTTCAACTTTAAATGAACTGTATCACATACGCTAATTATGCATTGTCCTTCCTGTGTTAAGTTCTTTTTAAATGAGATATTCTTGTGACCTGAGTGCAGTTGTGGTCATTTGGGCAATACAGCACTTTTGTGAAATTGTAGCTATCTGTTGAATCACCAGTATTATTTGGTAAGCTTCACATGCTGATTTGATTATGGTGCTGACATCACTGTGCTGATTACCTAAGGCCTATGTTGATTCCTGTGTTAACCACCGGCTAGTTTTGCATTATTTGTTGACTGGGAAAATCACCCATCTGTTCAGCCCATGTTTTTGAAATTTTGTGTCATTGTTTTCATAGTTTAAGAACATGCAGTTAGCCCAGGTGGTTAGAGCACAGTGTTGTAACACCAAGGTCAAGGGTTTGGATCCCTATACTGGTCAGCCGCCAAAAAAAGAACATGCAGTACTCCCTATTGCACATTATGTCAAGTTCAAACTCTTCTTCCTGAGTTTTTCGGATTCTGCATTACTGGTTTTCATTTGTCCAATCCAGTCTCTTAACAATTTCATAGTTTTC